GGGTGCAGACGCCACTCGTCGTCTCGAGGACCCCCTCGAGACATGAAGTCTGCCCCTATGTTCAAGTAGCCTGGAATGTGTGCTGCTCTTAATGAGCGAAGGTGCTCGTGAGCCCACAGCCACAATTCCTCCGCCGCCCTGTGGAGTGCATGAGACCTGACTCCTCCCTGGCGATTGATGTGGGCTACTGTGGTTCGGTTGTCTGACCAGACCAGCACATCGCGACCCCGAAGGGTAGACGAGAAGTGGATCAGAACCAGTAGAATCGTTTCCAACTCTACGAGGTTGATGTGACGACTCGAAAGAGGCCACACACCTCCTATCGCTTGGGTCTGACATGTCCCTCCCCATCCAGTCAGAGAGGCATCTGTAAACACTGGAATGTAGGAGGACACTTTGCCTATTGGGACGCCGTGCGTGAGAACATGCGGGTCTCTCCAATAGTTCAGATCTGCACTGAGCGAGAGGGGAACCACCACCAACCGACGACGTTGACACACTGGGTCTAGTCGTAGTTGGGCGAACCATCGCTGTATCCTGCGCAGGAGTCCCAGCGGAACCACGAAATGGGCCGACGACATGAGACCCAAGAGTGACATGACCGAAAGCGCCGTTACCATGTGATTCGGACGAAACCTTCGTAGGGCTAGCAACATAGCAACCCTTCGAGGGTCCGAAATTCATCGTTACAGTGTCTATCTGTATCCCCAGATAGACAATCTGATGACTGGGCCAGGATGCGCTCTTTTTCCAATTCACAGCGAACCCCAGACGCGTGAGATGAATCACTGTCTGTGTCGTGTGAGTGAACGCCAGCTCTGCTGACGGGGCGAGAACCAGTAGGTCGTCTAGGTAGGCTAGTAGCCTTATTCCCTGATGACGCAACGGATCCAATGCCGCCTCCACACATTTGGAAAACGTGCGAGGTGCCAGGGTGTACCCGAATGGCATCCTCGTGAACTCGTACGCCACCCCTTGAAAGGCGAACTGCAGAAACTTCATGTGACGTGGCTGCACCGGCACATGACAGTACGCGTCCTTTAGGTCTATGCTCGTACAAAAGTCTCCCTTCTGGACACATTCCAGTAGACATTTTGTCGTTAGCATTCGGAAGGGCCGTTTGGCTACGCTCTCGTTGAGAATGCGTAAATCCAATATCGGCCTCATTCCCCATGTCTTTTTCGGCACCAGGAAATAGGGCGAATATAGCCCTTTGTTCCTTTGCTCCCAGGGAACTACTGTGACCGCCTCCTTCGCCAAAAGTTCTGTAATCTCCGCAACGAGAGCGGCGACTTTTTCGGGCGTTTTCATCACCGTCTCCACCACCCCCGATGAAATTGGATGGCATAACCCTTCTGCAACGTCTGGTCTAACCAGAGGGAAAGGTTACAGCTTCGCCGCCACTCCCAGCAATGCAGAGAAAGCGGAAGAGCGCGAAGCTGTGGTACATTCAGTAGGAAGGACCTGTATTCCTCAACGGCCCTCACCGCCGCTGTTCCTCAACACTGAAGTGGTGGAACAGCCCAAGGCGGGCCTCCCAAGAAAGGGAGAGGAAACATTAGCGTGTTCTGAGAGAAACGGGGGCGCCGATATGTTGGTTAAACCCGTAACCTCGATATCCCGGCCCTACGTGAACGCAGCACGGGTCTGAACTGCACTGACTGAGGCGTTAGCCTGAGACAGAGCGCCGTCCCCGAATAGCGATTGCGTCATCATTCCATTACCTGGCTGTGACTGCAGTCTGCTATGTGAGACCTTCACAGCACTCCTAGAAGTCTGTAATGTGAGGTCTTTATGAGGTAAAGCAAGGCGGCGCCTTGTTACCTTTTTAACACCCGCCTCATGTGTGTGTTCAACTACGCACCCTTGGTGGGCTGAGCTACACTCAGAGTGGTGAGAGCGAGAGAGAGAGAGAGAAGGAGCTTGAACGTTCTCGGATGTATCATGGAAAAGGGGCTCTCTTGTGACAAAGTCAATTGGAGCCAACTCTTTATTCAGCACATCAACAACAACAGTTCCCTCCATACCCTCAACAGAAGGGTGGGGGGGAATAGTGGGCACAGTCGTACCAGCCGCTGTGCCGTCTCCCATTCTCGCCCCCTCATAGGCGCCTTCTCTTCTGGCCACCCTTCGGGTGCTTCCAAGAAGATGCTCTGACGACCTCTCTCGTCAACGGCACGGTCGGGACCTCTGGCTCCGCAGGAGGGGCGGGGCCCGCTTCTCTGCTGCTGGAAGTCGCTGCATGGCGCCGGGCACGACGCCTCACTGTAGACCCCTGTCTACTTGAGGCGGTGGAGCTTGACGGTCGTTTCGGTGCAGGGCCGAGTCTTCCTGCCAGTGGCAGGTGTCTGGCCAGCTGCTTCCTCTCCTCGTCAAGCCTCATAAAATGCTCCGTCGCACCTTTGATGGCGACCCCAAACAGGCCGTCGTATGAGATGGGGGCGTTCAGTAACGCGGCTCTGTCTGTCTCTTTCATGGCTATCATAGTCAGCCAAAGGTGTCATTCCACCACCACCGAAGTGGCCATGGACCTCCCCGCACACACAGCTGATGCCTGCGTTAAGTGGAGAATAGCGCCAGAAATTCTGGACGCCTCTTCCACTTCCTCCCCAGTGAGCTCAGACTTACCCGTTGTTAGGCGGGACAGAGAGGCTACTAGGAGGCAATATTATTCGCAGCTGCTATGGCCTGGGCTCCCAGCACGAAGGACTTCTCAACCAGCTGTGCTGTGAGTCGGTCCTTCTGTGTGGGTAGAACGGCTTTCTTGGACGAGGGCCAGGGACTCGAACCCGGCACGAGATACGCAGCCAGGGCGCTCTCGAGCCTAGGGATTCCCCTTGAAAAGCCCTGCTGTCTGCCTTCTACCCTGGTGAATGGGAGGTACGCCTTAGCCGGCGAACGCGCCGCTAAAGGTGCCTCCAATGAGCCCTCCACATACTTACCAGGCGAGGGCATGGTCGGTGCCAGAGGCTCCGCCGCCCTCCTGGGCCTGGAATAAGAACCGCCCTCCATCATATCCCCTTCCGGGTTGGAGGGAATGGGGGGCAGCTTAATCTGCAGGCGCTCGGCAGCCCTCTCGATGAGCCCTGGAAAGTCAGAGCGCAGAGAGGCTGTGGCGTATGATGTGGCTGCTGAATTCTCAGAGCCCGCATCATCATCGCCCAGGGATGAAAAAGACCTCGCCCTTTCCAATGGAAATGGGGTCTTAAAATCATGGGTCAGAGGGATGGATTGTTCCGCTGGAATATCCATCTCTTCCCCAATATCCCTGTCATCTCCTGAGTCAGCGCCCTCAGATGATGCCTCAGAAGCTGAGGCTAACACTGATAGCACATCCTCAAGAGGAATATCCTCCCTAAAAAATGCCCAACGCTGCTTCCTCTCTTTCAATGAAAGGAGGGCGCACCTGGCGCATAGTGGGGGATCTATGAGGCCGTCCCTGGCGTGCTGTGACCCTAGACACAAGAAACATAAGTTGTGGGGGTCAGCAGCCACCATAGAGGAACAGCGACACTGAGCTCTGAAAATAGCTTTTGGGGGTGGAAAATCTCCTGGTGTGCTCATTTTAGGACGACGTCGATGATCTGGAAAATCTACGGCGTTTTCTTCGTCCTGAGTCTTCTTATCGGCTTCTTCAGTCCAGTCCAGTCGCTGAAGATAATGGGAGGCTGATTGAGGGGAAGCGTCCCCTCTTATAGGGACACCTATACTCCTATTGGCTGCAGGTGTGTGCATAATTTTGTCTCAGGCTGTTCGCTGCCTAGGCAGCGGGGTAAACCAATAGGAGCAGAGCTCCCCTATGGGGCGGAGCTCCACGATATAGAACTGGTATACTTTTTTATTTATCACAAATTTGTTTAACCAATTATGTTCTTTAATGCAGGGCCGACAGACAAGTTCCTTACTTTTTCCCCCTTCCACTTTCCTCTTCCATTTTTGCGGTAATGCTGCAATTATTTTGTTAATGAAAATGTATGCACTCACTAACTGTAAGTCGCTCTGGATAAGAGCGTCTGCTAAATTACTAAAATGTAAATGTTGTAATTTTGGGTAGAGCAGATATTTCCATATGTTTTTGTTAGCTGCATGTGCGATATAACTCCACCAGTCCTACCTATGATATAATTTATGTATAGCTCAGTTGGTAGAGCATGGCGCTTGCAACGCCAGGGTTGTGGGTTCGATTCCCACGGGGGGCCAGTATGAAAAAAAAAAGTATGCATTCACTAACTGTAAGTCGCTCTGGATAAGACCGTCTGCTAAATGACTCAAATGTAAAAATGTAAATTATACCTTTAAAAAATAAAATAAAAAATAAGAATGTTTTTTTATCAATTAGTATATTTGAGTTTAACCACAATATTTGTTTGAGAGGTGTGTGTTTGTCTGAGAGGTGTGTGTTTGTCTGAGAGGTGTGTGTTTGGGAGCAGTGTGAGCCGCACATCTCAGTTGACTGGGAGGCCAGGGAAGGGCCCGCTGCCAGATGCAGAGATAACCTTCATCTTCCGCAGCGAGGGCGACGCCAGCCAGGCAGCCCTCCACAGGAAATTAAGGAGATTTAATAAAGGAACTGAAGGCCACCCCCGGATTTTAAGACTGGCAAATGCAAAACATGACAATCTGCTAAATATTACACTCGATACGCATTGGTACTTTGACTGGGACTTTATTGTTAGGGGCACTTTTGAATAATGTATTTGACGGCTGCCTTGTTAATTTGGGTTTAATAAGCCCTGTGTAACAGGGGAAATGATATCTCTTACTATTCTCAACCAGATCTACTACAAAAACAAAGTGCAAATATGGAGGACAACTTCACTGACACAGTGATGGCCAAGTAGAGGTATTATTAACCTTTCCTAGAGATTACATGCATTGACACACTGTCATGTGATCTCACATGTCAGTGTGTGACAGAAAGGGTTACACACATCACATGTAAAACAGCAGAGGGAAGGGGAGGGTAAGGAAAGGTACGAGAGGTGATTGGTTACTTACTGGTTTCCAGATTGCATAGGGCAGTGTGCGCTGTATCCTTCAGACTGCTGTGAGAATGATCCCCAGGAAGCAGAGGGATACATAGAACTCTGAAACAGAGAAGATAAAAGGTTCATTAGTTAACCATGCCTAAGAAGACTCAAACACAACACTATATGAGACTGGATATCATAGGGTCATAAACGCTTTGCATTTATATTGTCAAATTACTTGGTCAGGAATCATATAAAAGTTATCTGCATTCATGAAGATAAACCTTTGTGACAACCTAAAAGATTAGTTTAAGGTGTACCCTTTTCCCAAAAATTACATTTGTGAATATAGTGCACAAGTGCTTTTATTTTCACCAGTGCATTTCACAGAGTGCCATCAAGAAAACAACCAGAGTGCTATTGGGCAAACCATTTACCATGTCTTTGTTCCTCTGAGTCTGAGAAACTAGATAGTGCCAGCGTCTCCTAAAGGGAGACACAGATGATGCCTTGCACTAGTTAATACCTGAACCAGTATCAGGCCCTGCATCAGTCGAGATAACTGTCACCACAAAGACGTCACTGTCCCAACCCAAATGTCAAACAGTCTAACGCATGACAGCCATTTTTTGTGTTCCAGTTTCTGGTTAAAAGTGTCCTAAACCACCATGACAGTATTTTGTATTTTATTAGGATCCCCATTCTCTTCCTGGGTTCCACAGAAAACATGAAACATTACATAATACTGAACATGAATTGACAAGAACAGCTCAAGGACAGAACTACATAAATGTAAAAACGGCACAAATAGCCTACATATCAATATCTAGGTCAAATAGGGGAGAGGCGTTGTGCCGTGAGGTGCTGCTCTATCTTTTTTTTAAAGCCAGGTTTGCTGTTCATTTGAGCAATATGAGATGGAAGGGTTCCATGTAATTATGTCTCTATATAATACTGTACCCTTTCTTGAATTTCTTCTGGATTTGGGGACTGTGAAAAGTCCCCTGGTGGCATGTCTGGTGGGGTAAGTGTGTGTGTCAGAGCTGTGTGTATGTTGACTATGCAAACAATTTGGAATTCAACACATTAAATGTTTCTTATAAAAATAAGTGATGCAGTCAAGTCTCTCCTCAACTCATAGCCAAGAGAGATTGACATGTATAGTATTTACAGTGCATTCGGAAAGTAATCAGACCACTTGACTTTTTCCACATTTTGTTACGTTACAGCCTTATTCTAAAATTGATTATTGTTTTTTTCCCTCATCAATCTACACACAATACCCCATAATGACAAAGCAAAAACTAGTTTTTAGACATTTATTTAAAAAATACAGTGCCAGTTAAAAGTTTGGACACACCTACTCATTCAAGGGTTTTCTACATTGTAGAATAATAGTGAAGACATCAAAACTATGAAATAACATATGGAATCATGTAGTAACCAAAAAAGTGTTAAACAAATCAAAATATATTTGAGATTTGAGATTCTTCAAAGTTGCCTTGATGACAGCTTTGCACACGCTTGGCATTCTCTCAACCAGCTTCATGAGGTAGTCACGTAATGCGTTTCAAAAAGTTAATTTGTGAATTTCTTTCCTTCTTAATGCGTTTGAGCCAATCAGTTGTGTAGTGACAAGGTAGGGGTGGTATACAGAAGATAGCCCTATTTGGTAAAAGACCAAGTCCATATTAATGGCAAGAACAGCTCAAATAAGCAAAGACAAAACGACAGTCCATCATTACTTTAAGACATGAACGTCAGTCAATACGGAAAATGTCAAGAACTTTGAAAGTTTCTTCAAGTGCAGTCACAAAAACCATCAAGTGCTACGATGAAACTGGCTCTCATGAGGAACGCCACAGGAAAGGAAGACCCAGAGTTACCTCTGCTGCAGAGGATAAGTTAATTAGAGTTAACTGCACCTATGATTGCAGCCCAAATAAATGCTTCACTGAGTTCAAGTATCAGACACATCTCAACATCAACTGTTTAGAGGAGACTGTTTGAACCAGGCCTTCATGGTCGAATTTCAGCAAAGAAACAACTACTAAAGGACACCAATAAGAAGAAGAGACTTACTTGGGCCAAGAAACACGAGCAATGGACATTAGACTGGTGGGGATCTGTCCTTTGGTCTGATGAGTCCGAATTTGAGATGTTTGGTTCCACCCACCGTGTCTTTGTGAGACGCAGAGTAGGTGAACGGATGATCTCCGCATGTGTGGTTCCCACCGTGAAGCATGTAGGAGGAGGTGTGATGGTGTGGGGGTGCTTTGCTGGTGACACCGTCAGGGATTTATTTACAATTCAAGGCACACTTAACCAACATGGCTACCACAGCATTCTGCAGCAATACGCCATGCCATCTGGTTTGCACTTAGTGGAACTATCATTTGTTTTTCGACAGGACAATGACCCAAAAAACACCTCCAGGCTGTGTAAGGGCTATTTGACCAAGGAGAGTGATGGAGTGCTGTATCAGATGACCTGGCCTCCACAATCACCCGCCCTCAACCCAATTGAGATGGTTTGGGATGAGTTGGACCGCAGAGTGAAGGAAAAGCAGCCAACAAGTGTTCAGCATATGTGGGAACTCCTTCAAGACTGTTGGAAAAGCATTCCTCAAGAAGCTGGTTGAGAGAATGCCAAGAGTGTGCAAAGCTGTCATCAAGGCAAAGGGTGGCTACTTTGAAGAATCTCAAATAGAAAATATATTTTGATTTGTTTAACACTTTTTTGGTTACTACATGATTCCATATGTGTTTTTTCATAGTTTTGATGTCTTCACTATTATTCTACACTGTAGAAAATAGTAAAAATAAAGAAAAACCCTTGAATGAGTTCAAACGAGTCCAAACGTTTGACTGGTACTGTATATAAATTCAGACCCTTTACTCAGTACTTTGTTGAAGCACCTTTGGCAACGATTACAGCCTCGAGTCTTCTTGGGTATGACGCTACAAGCTTGGCACACCTGTATTTGGGGAGTGTCTCCACTCTTCTCAAGCTCTGTCAGGTTGGATGGGGAGTGTCGCTGCACAGCTATATAAAGGCCTGATTGGTGGATTGCTGCCGAGATGGTTGTCCTTCTGGAAGGTTCTTCCATTTCCACAGAGGAACTCTGGAGCTCTGTCAGAGTGACCATCGGGTTCTGGGTCACCTCCCTGACCAAGGCCCTTCTCCCCCGTTTGCTCAGTTTGGCCGGGGCGGCCAGCTCTAGGAAGAGTCTTGGTGGTTACAAACCTCTTCCATTTAAGAATGATGGAGGCCGCAGTGTTCATGGGGACCTTCAATGCTGCAGATGTTTTTGGTACCCTTCCCCAGATCTGTGCTTTGACACAATCCTGTCTCGGAGCTCTACGGACAATTCCTTCGACCTCATCGCTTGGTTTTTGCTCTGACATGCACTGTCAACTGTGGGACCTTATATAGACAGGTGTGTGCCAAATCATGTCCAATCAATTGAATTTACAACAGGTGGACTCCAATCAAGTTGTAGAAACATCTCAAGGATGATCAATGGAAACAGGATGCACCTGAGCTCAATTTCGCATGTAAATGTGTTATCACTTTGTCATTATGGGGTATTGTGTGTAGATTGATGAGGAATACTTTTTTAAATCAATTTTACAATAAAGCTGTAACGTAACATTTGGAAAAAGGGAAGGGGTCTGAATACTTCCCGAATGCACTGTATATTTACATTTTAGTCATTTAGCAGACGCTCTTATCCAGAGCGACTTACAGTTAGTGAATGCATACCTTTGCCTGGACTCGAACCAGGATCTCTAGTGGCACAGCTAGTACTGCGATGCAGTGCCTTGCGCCACTCGGGAGTCATATATTAGCTCCCTGATTACAATGAAGAGCATGCTAACACGAACTTGTTGATGACAATAACATTGTTATTTGCATACTATAATATAGCCTCTATTATGGAGCCACATTTGCTGGAATAATATTAGCATATTATGTAGCCTTCTATTATTAGCATATTATGTTGCACATTTTCCTGGAACTTTTGGTGTTTACCAAATGGGTGGATGTGCAAACATGTGTAGTGTGTGTGTGCATACGACGTACCTCCATATTGGAAGAGGCCACTTCGAACATGCTGCTGTCCAGCTGCGGCCCTTCTGGGTGCAGGTAGTTCTCCCCGTCCATGGCCAGTGAGGGTGACGGGAGGGTGGGCATCAGGCTGCAGGATGACACATGACCCCTGACCTTCACGTACGTATGCTGGCTGTGTCCTACAGAGCTCCTACTAATGCCCAGCACACTCCATCACCTGGGGAGAGAGAGAGACACACAGGGGGTTCATTTCAAATTATTCATATTCTAATTACAGTTTTTACACAGTAGCATGTCAGCGTGTTTTTCTCACCATAGTGTAGTCAAATACTGTATAATTGCCTAAAACCTCTATTGCAGTTTTGAAGCAATAGCATAAACCAGGTTTTGGCAACTTTGACGGGGTGGAGGCCACAAAAAATTTGAAATCATCACAGGGGCCGCAGTGGCTCGAGGGTCTGCGTACCCACATCCATACCCACACATGCAGTAAGAGACTGGCTCTAGCCTTTTGGGGGCCCTAAGCGAAATTGGAAGTTTTAGAGTTAATGTCTTGCAACTCTGCCATGGGGCGGAGAGAAATGTTGGTAATTTTTATATGATATCTGACAGAGTGACTACCAAAATCCATGGGGGCCCACCGGACGGTAATTCGACCATGATTAGTACAAGTTTAGATAGTAGTATTTAGTATTTTATTGGGATACCCAATTAGCTGCTGCCAAGGCAGCAGCTACTCATCCTGGGGTCAAAGCAGGAAACAAAACAACAAATAAAATACATAACACTACATAATATCCTGCCTCTGCCTCACGCTTCAGAAACAGGTGACGGCTCCTGCAATATGAGCTGTTCCAGCTCCCATAAGCCAAGGCTCGTGCAAGGCCAACGACCTACATAATACAGTGCAAATTACAATACAAAAATATATATCAAATGGCTGTCTCTTCACAGACCCAGTTGTGCCATAAAGTGTTCTTTTATCTGTTTTTAGAATCTGTTTTTATTGTTAGCTTGAGTTACCTGGGGTGGCAGAGCATTCCATGTAGTCATGGCTCTATTTAATACTGTGTGTTTCCCAGCCTCTGTTCAGGACCTGGGGACTGTGAAGAGACCTCTGATTGCATGTCTTATGTTGTACCGATGAGTGTTCGAACTGTGTGCCAACTGCTTGAACAGACAGTTCGGAAACCTTCAACACATCAACACGTCGCACAAAGACCAATTGCGATGCAGAAAATCTCTCCTAAACTTCGAGCCAGGAGAGGTTGACATGCATGTTACTGACATTCAGGCTCCGTGTACATCTAAGTGCAATACGTGTTGCTCTATTCTGGAAAAACTGCAATTTACTTATGTCCCTCTTACGCATCTGCGGTGAAAGGTGACAGAGCTAGAGTGGTGTTTGTCAGACCATGAGACATCCCGAAAATCGGTCTTCTCACATAATCAGCTGTAGCGCCCCTCTATGGAAAGATGACTCTCACGAACACACTGGTGTTCTCCATTTTGATCTACGACCTCCACAAGTGTCAGGTGACTCGTCTAAAGTCGGTACAGCCAATCTGCCAACTTCTGTCTGTAGCGTCCAAACCGTTTGGGCTACACACTAATATGACCCCTCTGTGCAAAGGTGAGACGCTCCCGAACATGTACATGTTTTGCTCTACGACGCCCACAGGCCTCACAAGACTCGTCTGAAGGTCCCCCGGTACCAGTTGAAAAAATGAATGGAAGTATATATGGAGACTGTTCCATGTAGAGAATCTGTTATTCAGTAAGACCAAAAATAATTTCAAATATTTTATGTATTTGTTTTTATACTTCAAGGGGTCTTAAAATTCAAAATCAAATAGCTAAACGATCTTTGGTATGACCTTTAAACAACTCCATATAGCTTAGGCGATGTGAACGAACATTCCAAAACACAAATATTATGAAGGCTACAACCTTCTCTGTCTGTCTGTTGTATCGGATATTGCAGTTGCACAAGCAGGACGCAGTTCCTACAATTGAGGAAAAACAATCTGGGTTGTGTGTGGTGATGTAGGCTAATCAATGATGATGGAAAAAAAACTATGAATCTCTAATTAGACTGCGTGTCTGTGTCTTGCTTCGTTCCACCTCTGGGCAGCCGAAAGTTATAGGCAGCCGAGCGTGTATCCGGACCGGTACAAAGTCTGACAATGGCCGAGTTCATTTGCCAGTTAATAGACCAATAAGAAAGAGTTCCACACTTAACTGCAATAGTTCGAACAGTTGTGTACAACATGAACTTTGTAGGCTACACAAGTGACCATACAAAGGCGATCAAGTAGGGGGGAGCGGCAGCAGAACACTCAGCACAGCAGCTACGTAGGCAGCGGAGTGGGCACTTGGCTACGTAAAACAAAATCCTGCACATACGCAGATATATCCGGATTGTTAGCCTGGGCAAATTGGGATACAGAAATTCCTTATCCAAAGGCACTCCGTAAATATTCATATCTTCAGTTCTTCCAACTGAGCCAATATCACAAAGCAATGACAGACAATCACTTATTTGCTTAGTTCCAGTAAAAAGAAAATGAAATGCCAGATGAATCAAATAGCAGCCTTCTGATTATTAAGCATTGAAATCAATCATGTTGCAAATCACAGGGTAGCACAACTTAGAAGGGCAATTCTGCCACTTTTCAACCTCATATTCATTATCTCCAGCAAAATACCAGTGTCTACATTTGTGAAAACAGTGTGTTTCTATGATCTGTGGTTTAAAAAGATAAGGTGCTAAAAAATACTTATCTGTGACATAACAGAGTACAGTCGTGGTCAAAAGTTTTGAGAATGACACAAGTATTGGTCTTCACAAAGTTTGCTGCTTCAGTGTTTTTAGATATTTTTGTCAGATGTTACTATTGTATACTGAAGTATAATTACAAGCATTCCATAAGTGTCAAAGGCTTTATTGACAATTACATTAAGTTTATGCACAGAGTCAATATTTGCAGTGTTGACCCTTCTTTTTCAAGACCTCTGCAATCCGCCCTGGCATGCTGTCAATTAACTTCTGGGCCACAACTTCTGGGCTACATCCTGACTGATGGCAGCCCATTCTTGCATAATCAATGCTTGGAGTTTGTGGGTTTTTGTTTGTCCACCCGCCTCTTGAGGATTGACCACAAGTTCTCAATGGGATTAAGTTCTGGGGAGTTTCCTGGCCATGGACCCAAAATGTCGATGTTTTGTTCCCCGAGCCACTTAGTTATCACTTTTGCCTTATGGCAAGGTGCTCCATCATGCTGGAAAAGGCATTGTTCGTCACCAAACTGTTCTTGGATGGTTGGGAGAAGTTGCTCTCGGAGGATGTGTTGGTACCATTCTTTGTTCATGGCTGTGTTCTTAGGCAAAATTGTGAGTGAGCCCACTTCCTTGGCTGAGAAGCAACCCCACACATGAATGGTCTCAGGATGCTTTACTGTTGGCATGACACAGGACTGATGGTAGCGCTCACCTTGTCTTCTCCGGACAATATTTTTTCCGGATGCCCCAAACAATCGGAAAGGGGATTCATCAGAGAAAATGACTTTACCCCAGTCCTCAGCAGTCCAATCCCTGTACCTTTTGCAGAATATCAGTCTAACCCTGATGTTTTTCCTGGAGAGAAGTGGCTTCCTTGCTGCCCTTCTTGACACCAGGCCATCCTCCAAAAGTATTCGCCTCACTGTGCGTGCAGATGCACTCACACCTGCCTGCTGCCATTCCTGAGCAAGCTCTGCACTGGTGGTGCCCCGATCCCGCAGCTGAATCAACTTTAGGAGACGGTCCTGGCGCTTGCTGGACTTTCTTGGGCGCCCTGAAGCCTTCTTCACAATAATTGAACCTCTCTCCTTGAAGTTCTTGATGATCCGATAAATGGTTGATTTAGGTGCAATCTTACTAGCAGCAATATCCTTGCCTGTGAAGCCCTTTTTGTGCAAAGCAATGATGACGGCACGTGTTTCCTTGCAGGTAACAATGGTTAACAGAGGAAGAACAATGATTTCAAGCACCACCCTAATTTTAAAGCTTCCAGTCTGTTATTCTAACTCAATCAACATGACAGAGTGATCTCCAGCCTTGTCCTCGTCAACACTCTCACCTGTGTTAACGAGAGAATCACTGACATGATGTCAGCTGGTCCTTTTGTGGCAGGGCTGAAATGCAGTGGAAATGTTTTTTGGGGATTAAGTTCATTTTCATGGCAAAGAGGGACTTTGCAATTAATTGCAATTCATCTGATCACTCTTCATAACATTCTGGAGTATATGCAAATTGCCATCATAAAAACTAAGGCAGCAGACTTTGTGAAAATTAATATTTGTGTCATTCTCAAAACTTTTGACCACGACTGTAGGATTAAAAGTAAGAAAAACACTGATTATCAAAACCTGCAACGAGTTTCTAGCCAGATGGAGGGTATTTTCTTGCTCCCCACGTCGCCGCGAATCTCATAGTGTTTGGTGTGTGTGGCTGCTCTGACACTTATGTCGTTTTCCTAACCACAGGACCTGACCAGGAAAAACTGCACTGCAGACCAAGTTATAGGCTATCTATGGTCCAGAAAAACTCCTGCCCCTACAGTGCAGTTTTCCCATAGGAATTAATGGAATTCTACAGTATTTCAATTAAATGTTTCAAGGAACTATTTACATGTATTTAAGTATTGTGGCGTTGTAGTGGGGACAGTAACATTAGAACTTTCAAAAAAATTTACTTTCATGAAAATGTTTATATACAGTGAGGGAAAAAAGTATTTGATCCCCTGCTGATTTTGTACGTTTTCCCACTGACAAAGAAATGATCAGTCTATAATTTTAATGGTAGGTTTATTTGAACAGTGAGAGACAGAATAACAACAAAAAAATCCAGAAAAAGGCATGTCAAAAATGTTATAAATTGATTTGCATTTTAATGAGGGAAATAATTATTTGACCCCCTCTCAATCAGAAAGATTTCTGGCTCCCAGGTGTCTTTTATACAGGTAACGAGCTGAGATTAGGAGCACACTCTTAAAGGGAGTGCTCCTAATCTCAGTTTGTTACCTGTATAAAAGACACCTGTCCACAGAAGCAATCAATCAATCAGATTCCAAACTCTCCACCATGGCCTAGACCAAAGAGCTCTCCAAGGATGTCAGGGACAAGATTGTAGACCTACACAAGGCTGGAATGGGCTACAAGACCATCGCCAAGCAGCTTGGTGAGAAGGTGACAACAGTTGGTGCGATTATTCTCAAATGGAAGAAACACAAAATAACTGTCAATCTGCCTCGGCCTGGGGCTCCATGCAAGATCTCACCTCGTGGAGTTGCAATGATCATGAGAACGGTGAGGAATCAGCCCAGAACTACACGGGAGGATCTTGTCAATGATCTCAAGGCAGCTGTGACCATAGTCACCTAGAAAACAATTGGTAACACACTACGCCGTGAAGGACTGAAATCCTGCAGTGCCCGCAAGTTCCTCCTGCTCAAGAAAGCACATATACATGCCCGTCTGAAGTTTGCCAATGAACATCTGAATGATTCAGAGGAGAACTGGGTGAAAGTGTTGTGGTCAGATGAGACCAAAATGGAGCTCTTTGGCATCAACTCAACTCGCCGTGTTTGGAGGAGGAGGAATGCTGCCTATGACCCCAAGAACACCATCCCCACCGTCAAACATGGAGGTGGAAACATTATGCTTTGGGGGTGTTTTTCTGCTAAGGGGACAGGACAACTTCACCGCATCAAAGGGACGATGGACGGGGCCATGTACCGTCAAATCTTGGGTGAGAACCTCCTTCCCTCAGCCAGGGCATTGAAAATGGGTCGTGGATGGGTATTCCAGCATGACAATGACCCAAAACACACGGCCAAGGCAACAAAGGAGTGGCTCAAGAAGAAGCACATTAAGGTCCTGGAGTGGTCTAGCCAGTCTCCAGACCTTAATCCCATAGAAAATCTGTGGAGGGAGCTGAAGGTTCGAGTTGCCAAACGTCAGCCTCGAAACCTTAATGACTTGGAGAAGATCTGCAAAGAGGAGTGGGACAAAATCCCTCCTGAGATGTGTGCAAACCTGGTGGCCAACTACAAGAAACATCTGACCTCTGTGATTGCCAACAAGGGTGTTGCCACCAAGTACTAAGTCATGTTTTGCAGAGGGGTCAAATACTTATTTCCCTCATTAACATTTTTGACATGCATTTTTCTGGATTTTTTTGTTGTTATTCTGTCTCTCACTGTTCAAATAAACCTACAATTAAAATTATAGACTGATCATGTCTTTGTCAGTGGGCAAACGTACAAAATCAGCAGGGGATCAAATGCTTTTTTCCCTCACTGTACATATATATTTGTATGTTTAGCTCACATAATATAATGTAAAAGTATGCATTAAAGTGTCTGTAATAGAATAAACGTGGCAAAAACAAATGTAGACATTAACAAATGCATTTCTATACCTTCCAAAATATTTTTTACAATGGTGGGGGAGTGCCAAGTTGGAGGTGCAGTGGCTTCAAAACAACACTCCCTGTCAGTCATCTAGTGTATATATAAATCATTGGTGCTGCCCTGCAGAACAACACACAGCATCCCGAGGACACCACAGCCCTGTGAGGCTGAGAGATGCATCTCTGTAATAGGCAACCTGGGATGCCCAGTGATTGCGAGGCCTACTCACCGTCTTATTTCCAATCAAAACCCTTTGGAAATCATATTAGGTGTAGGCGTACAGTCAAACATGGTAAACAAACCTGAGAGGAACATGCATGTGTTTGTATGAGAGTGGTGTGAAGGAGATTGTGAATGAGAACAATCACAGGCAGGCGCTAACTTCATCAGTGTGAGAAACAACAAAAGTCCTTCATTATTCCTTATTAACCTTAGCCAATCACTCTCTCCTTCGTTCTATCCCCTATTCTCTCGCTCTCCCCATCTCTGGAGTGCTGGGATCCAATCCCAACATCCCTGGGCCCTTTTTGCTCCTCCCGCCTTTCCCCCAGTGGATCCAACCATATCACCGTGCCAATGGTGGCAGTTCATGTCTCCTAGCAACCGAAAGGTGTCCATCTTCAGCAGCCCATTGTCTCTGAGGACAATCGATAGTGATCATTATTTGGGCACCCAGACGTCCTCTTCCTGCAAGCCCTATTATCATTACTGGAAAACAGGAAAAACTCCCTGCCGCTGAGGGAGAGAGGCGGGAGGCTAACAATGGCGGGTCTCATTCTCTCTGCAAGAAAAAACACAAGGAAACGCTTTACTATTCCTCCATAGGGCTGGGCAGAATACCGTATTTTATTTTATAGCCTACCGTTATTCATGCACGGACCGGTTTAGGTTTTTACTTTACCTTCTATTATGGTATTTCAATTGTTTGGTTTGTTAAATGTGGTATGCCACTGGCGCGTAATGTCAATTTTTATAGTTTCCTCCGTTACTTCAGTTGTCTCTCTCCCTTTCCTCCCCATGCACTTCTCACACCAAGGCCTGCCCCTTGTCACTCCGTGGTCAAGCAGTCGTTGTTGCTTGACCACGGAGTCACAAGCACTTGTCGTGCCGTTCACCTCGTCTGTATGGTCAGATGTAAAAAGATGTTGGTGACAACGATTTCCACTTTGCTTCTTTAATAGAAATCCACAAGCGTTCTACACTGAACAAAAATATAAACGCAACATGTAAAGTGTTGGTCCCATGTTTCATGAGCTGAAATAAAAGATCCCTGAAATTTTCCAGACGCACAAAAAGCTTATTTCTCTCAGATTTGGTGCACAAATTTGATAACATCCCTGTTAGTGAGCATTTCTCCTTTCGTAAGATAATCCATCCACCTGATAGGTGTGGCATATCAAGAAGCTGATTAAACAGCATGATCTTACACAGGTGCACCTTGTGCTGGGGATAATACAAGGCCACTCTAAAATGTGCAGTTTTGTCACACAACACAATGCCACAGATGTCTCATGTTTTGAGGGAGCGTGCAACTGGTATGCTGACTGCAAGAATGTTGCCAGAGAATTGAATGTTCATTTCTCTACCATAAGCCTTCAACTTTGTTTTAGAGAATTTGGCAGTACGTCCAACCGGCCTCACAACCGCAGACCACGTGTAAGCACGCCAGCCCAGGACCTCCACATCCAGCTTCTTCACCTGCAGGATCGTCTGAGACCAGCCACCCAGACAGCTGATGAAACTGAGGAGCATTTCTGTCTGTCATAAATCCCTTTTGTGGGGAAAAACTCATTCTGATTGAATGTTTGAAAAGAGCACCTGACATTTCAGCCTGTTTTGGTGGAAGGGAGTTTAGGCCTTCCATAGTGACATCACCATGCGGTGAATTAGTTTATATGCCAATAAGAAAGAGAGTTCCAAACCTCTCTGCCAATAACAGCTAAATGTAGGTTTCCCCTCCCCACTCAAACCACTCACAGAGAGCAAAATTCCTGCTTGTGAAATTTATTTTTGGACATTTTAATTGAAAACAATCACAGTAAGGTACTTAATGTTACCCAGAAATGATTTGATATTGAGATAAAAATTGGTGCATTGGACTTTTAAAAGAAATGCATTCATATTATTTTGAAAGAGTACCAGGAAATCTCGTCACAATGCGGACACATTTTAACACCATGTGTTGACACGACAAACCTTGATCAGATAGCAATAGGATCATATTGATTACATCACCAAGCCCACATTTGATGGCAAGGTGTAAACAAGGCTCATGTTACAGCAGAATCGGACTCAACCATACGAATGACCGGCTGTCCAGTCTGCTGTTTCTTCCACACACAAATTATGACTGTCTTCATCCATAACCGTTGGCTACACGGTTATACGGTAATTGTGCCAGCCCTATTAACAGTTACACAGTAATGCTAAAATCGTGACCTTTTGTATTAAGTGGTTTAAAGCCTAGTGTCGAGTCAGTTTTTGGTAGAGAAAGAGGGGGTTCATTTCAGGACACGGTCACAGGAGTGAGTAATCCGTTAATTGCTTCAGAGGCTGGTGAGGGAGGTTGGGCAAGCGCCCCCCCCCTCTCAGCCTCCCTCCTGGGTGGCCTGACATGTTATAAACAGAGGAGTGAGTTGCGGATTATTCATGTCCCATCATCTTAAAAATCGAGCCTTGATGAAAGAACCTCACAAGACCTTTAAGAGGGCCAAAGCTATCAAGAGGAAGTAGAAGTTAGGCCTATTTACATCATATTTCAAATAGTGAATATGAACAACCTGTAAACATCCCAGTTTCCCCATGTTGCTGTGAGTGCCAGCCAGGCAGGCAGGCAAGGGTTAAGGCCAGGGTGTCTCTCATTCTGACAAGTCACTCAGGGCAGCGAGGCCTGCCAGCTAAAGCACATGGAAGTCATCCAGGGAAGTGTGACTCCCTTAATCTGCTAAATCACGACTAAGCGCTCACGAGGACCACCATCCTTCTAGACAGGAGGGGAACAACAGCCTCTCCCTCAGTGGGGGTGCTAGCCCCAGGCCTAGGTCAGGGGCCAGGGCAGAGCTGAGCCCAGTCAGCAGGGAGGGGAGAGAGCTGGGCAGGTCTAGGATGGGTATGGAGGGATACCATCTGGGCCTTTTCCTAAAATCGATCATGGTAAAATTGCCTAATTAAATGTCAATCTAAGGTCATTCAGTTTAGCATTTTCCATCTCAATGGGTTAGGGATGTGCACATTTATTCAAATATTCGAACGGACGTTAGTATTTGAATACTCGTGTGAGTATACATTTTTCAGACAAAAAGAAAGTATAGGCCTATTTTAACACTGTAAAGGCTTTTTCAAAAATATATATGGTACATTGTTACATACAAGGATATACCATGACATTTCAAATGATTAATTTAATAAAACAAACTTTTCAATGTAGTTTTTATGACGTGCGCCCTATAAAAAGACTGGTAGCCTTCACGTGTGTAGCTTGTTGTTTATGTTGGCCAATCAAAGCGGCAAAGAAGGTCGGTTGAGGAGGGGGTGACAGGAGGGTGCTGTGGGATTATTTAAGACTCTTTAAAAAGGTAGGGTTTCAGATGTTTTCGGTAGATGGGCAGGGACTGCTGTCCTAGCTTCAGGGGGAAGCTGGTTCTACCATTGGGGTGCCAGGACAGAGAAGAGCTTGGACTGGGCTGAGCGGGAGCTGCCCTCCCGTAGCGGTGGGAGGGCCAAGAGACTATATGTGGCAGAACGGCATGCTCGGTTTGGAGTGTAGGGTTTGCGCATAGCCTTAAGGTAGGGAGGGGCAGTTACTCTTGCTGCTCCATAGGCAAGTACCATGGTCTTGTAGTGAATGCGAGCTTCGACTAGAAACCAGTGGCGTGTGCGGAGGAGCGGTGTGACATTGAAGATTTTGGGAATGTTGAACACCAGGTGGGCTGCAGCGTTCTAGATAAGTTGAAGGGGTTTGACGGCACAAGTGTGGAGCCCAGCCAACAGCGAGTTGCAATAGTCCAGACCGGAGAGGACAAGTGCCAGCTGGACAGTGTTTCCCCCGACACATTGGTGCGGCTGGCTTCCGGGTTAAGCGAGCAGTGTGTCAAGAAGCAGTGCGGCTTGGCAGGGTTGTGTTTTTGGAGGATGCATGGCTCTCGACCGTTGCCTCTTCCGAGTCTGTAAGGGAGTTGTAGCGATGGGACAAGACTGTAACTACCAATTGGATATCACGAAATTTGGGAGAAAAAGGGGTAAAAGTACAAAATATAATAAACATATTAAAAGGTGTAATGTGCAGAAATCGCTCCACCATCTCCTGGTTGCTAAAATTCTAATAGTTCACCTAATTTCAGTTTGTGACACAAAAAGCAATGTATGTACAGTGTAGAGAATCATTGTACCATCTAAACTAGGCTTGGGCGGTATCCAAATTGTCATACCTTCATGCCACACCGGGATATTCGGTATAACCTGGCACTGAACACAAGGGGTGCTGTTTTCAAACCCCACTTACACTCAGTAATCCGAAGGTTAGCAATGCTAACAAGTATATGTAAAATCCCATGGAGAATGCTAACTAAATGCTAACGAGCGCATTGTAAACATTTTGTACAGCGTCTGACCTAAACTATACAATTATACAAGTAACTAAAAATTGTTACTCACAGTTTGCGGCACGCACAAAACAAATCTTATACAGCAAGGCTCTTGATCCAGGAGAGGATTCTCTGCTGTTACCAAGCGAATCCTTGATTTTGGAAGAAGCTAACCACTTAGCTAGATAGCCAACAAGCTACTAAATTAGCAAACCAAATGCTCAACTGCAGAGCATTTAGCACATTTTAGACAGTTAACTTAATAGTTATAAGATATCTAGCTGGCAAACGTTTAGTTGTGAATTCCATACTGCAATTAGATCACCTGTCGCATGCTGCACAACAGTGAGTGACTCACAAGGCGCCGGTCTCTCATTGTTGTGTGCTTGTAAACAAACACCACGTGACACGTGACTGGGGACTACAGTAAGCTTCATAATAATGTGACAGGTGAAATGAAGAACGCAATGTTCTTTATCTCCTAACATATTGCATAAAAATATTCCAATTTTTAAACGGTATAGAAAAACCATTGTATTTTCAGCTGTTTGAAGCTGGTGTACAAAACGAAGTAAAAAGACACAATCTATCTATAAATAACAATTCTATGTGAATTTGGTCAGATCGCCCAAAAAGTTACATATTGCAATTTTAAGTTAAAAAAAAAACATGTATTTCTAATATCCGGATATCCGACAAAAATTCATAATACTATTCAAAGTGAAATTATTTCAAACCCCCATCACTACAATGAGTTAAGGTTAGGATGTGTAGAGGTTCAAATGATTATTGATCTGGCCTGTGCCCAACGGCAACAGTGGTATGGGCAAATATTTTTATAACTAACCAAAGATACACCACAGCCTATCGTTTCGAATGGGAGAAAATTAAGCATAGTGGGCAGAACAAGCAAGGAGGTGGGCAGAGCAAAGCACGAGCTAGCGAGATCCTATTGGCGCATTCTAGCATGTATTTGCATATTTCGGTTAGGGAACGCCTACTCTGTGAAGTGCATGTCTGCAATAACTCAATTCGCCCTTGCACTCCTTAACACAATTATTAGAAACTTTGGCAAAGGGTAAAGTCTAGAAAACATAGTCCACTCTGTTCGTAACACATTCTTGTTTTGGGAACAGAAAACTGCATTGAGATCAAATGTTTAATCAATGAAAATATTAGCAGAATATCAGCCCAGTTCCATCTCGCTACATACTCTCCCACTGCCGGCCACTGGGCTTCCTCTCCTCACCATATTCCAACCGGATGCTTCAGATTTATACATCCGGTGAAACACTTGGCTCCCTGTTCCATCTGTGGTATGGGTAAGGGAACATTGGGGGGGAAAAAATTGGATAATTGGGACCTCCCAACATCACCCCATTAAAGTTGAAATATAAAGGTTAGGGTTAAGGATTAAGGTTAGGGTCGGGGTTAAGGTTAGGGTTTAGGATAGGGACATCCCAAGGATCCCGGATAGCACTAAACATGGGATCATGCCTCAATGTAGGCCTGTCATCTCTATCAGCCTGTTGGCAGGCCTCCACCCCTCACATGTGATCCCTCAATCTTTAAAGCACTTGTCTCGTCTTCCCTCGCTCCACAGGCCTGGCATTAATCCTGCTTAAGGCACACTGACTAAATCCTTTAATGAACGGCCTGCTTCATCTTCATTAACAACGCTCTCAAGATCAGGGCATCATGGCAGGCAGGGTGACACAAACACACACAGGCTTGTAAGAGATTTCACATAACTAAACAGACGAAACCTTTTATATAGGTTCCTGTTACGCAGAGTTACCATCTCAGACCTCACTATTTATGACATTTCTTCCAACCTACATCAAAGTCACTCACTGCCAATTACTGCCTATTAAAATGTCCTCCGATGTTAATCTAATTACAGAGCAACCCTACATTATATTAAACCAATATGTTGGTGGTTATGACGGCCAGGCTTGCTATGCTGGATTCATTAGCCAAGTGATGAAAAATTCATAAAAGGAACAAGTTACTTCCCTGGGAAACACAGCAGTCATTCAAAACAGTGTGAATTATTTATCAGGCCTTTTTCAACACACACCATTTCCATGGAGCGGCACGGACGCACAGAGAGGATCTGTGGGTGGCTCTGTGACGGGAGAAAACGACAAAGAAAAATGATCAACTGACTGTGTAACCAAATCTTCAGCGCTATCAAAGCGGAGGGAAATAGAAACAAATGGTGTTTTATGAGACTTTATTGTTAGAGTTTCTACAGCCATTCAAATATTAATCATGCTACACAGTCGGATGTTCCATCATACCTGCTGAACTTAACATTATTAGAAGCACCATTAGAAGTAGCCTAGCCTGACAAGATAGGATGTGTACATTCTTTCTTAACCCTCTAGAGTCTAAGCCTGGGGGGCGGGTTCTACTAAGCTAACATAAGGAATTGTTTTAAGATGGAAATTGACTCACGAGGTTGAACAAGTTTACATTCAAGTGATATCCGTGCCAGAGTATGTGAACTCTTCAGTGGCTAACAACTTGACTTTGAGCCAAACAAAGAGCATGAACCCCCAGGTGGGGGAGGCAAATTATTATATATTTTTTTTAAAGAGAGCCCGTCACACTTTATTTGCAATGTAGGCTATGGGATGGTAGCTAGCTAAGTCCACAGACACAATGCACACAACACTAAATACTTCCTCCAAGCTAGCTAACCACTGTAGCTACTATTGACATTAACAATGTATTAGCTAGTTTCCATGAAACAGCTGCCTGTGTTAGCTGCCGAGTTAGTGCCATGTCCTTAACTAGCTATGTGCTAACGTTAGCTAGCAAGCTAAACATTGGGCAATGGGCTGGCACTGGTAGTATGGGACTATGGAGAGTGAATTAAATGGTTTCTTCGTCATCTTGCTAGGTAGTTATCTAGCTGTGGCCATATTGCTAGTATCAACAAGGGCTTTCCACAAAATAGCAACATTAGCGTAGATAGAAATCCAAACCATAAGCAACACTCACGGATATGCATTTCCAAACAACGCTACTGCCACCTTCTGATTTTGAGTATTTTAACAAGGCTGAGTAGCTAACGACTTCCAAGGTCTTTGCTGTGTGAACACAAAAGAGATAGCACCTCTGAACAGAGTGTCGGCATTCAAAGTACTGTCAGCAGGCAAACGTTTGACAATCCTACCGGTTTGTCTGAGCTTTAAGAACACACGTTTCAGTCGACACTGTAGGCTAAGGGCTCTCCAAACCCTGTTCCAGGGGTCCTAGGCCTATAGGTTATGCTTAGAGTTATTTGAGTTGCATTTGCATTGATGTTCCTGGAGAGCTACCCTCCAGTAGGTTTTCGCTCCAACCCCAGTTGTAACTAACCGGATTCAGCTTATCAACCAGCTAATTATTATTAGAGTCAGGTGCGCTAGATAAGGGTTGGAGTGAAGACCTACAGGACAGTAGCTCTCCAGGAACAGGGTTGGAGAGCCCTGGATTAGAGGGACAATAGAGCGCTGAGCACCAGGCCATTAGCGGCTGGCCGTTAGAAAGTTTGGTAGGCTACTAATGACACCAGCGGC